TATCTTTAGTTTTCAGTGAATATGTCTGTGACAACATCTTTAGCAGTTCAAAGTAAAGGTTATACTTCTGCCCACTGGTAATAAAGCATGAGCTATCTCATTATCACTGCAGCTGATCATATTAAAGCTGAAATCCAAGCTTAATTAAAAATCATATATATGCATTATTTTAGCAAGTGTTCATTTTTATTTCTTATGTAGAGGCACTTATAACACGCGCTAGCCTGTTTTATTCATTTTAGTTGCTTTGTCGGCCATTTTTATAGCGTGACTCCCATTCCTTAAGGTAGTGAGAGAATGAAAAGGATTCACATTTAGATATTTTTCATGCAGTGCTGTTGAATTTCATAGGTTTCCTTTGTTTAAAATAGTTGTTCTTTTTTATATTTGTGCAACTTAGATTTACTTTTTTTAACTACTGCAAAATAAAATGTCTTTTCAAAATACTCTTACGCTGTATTACGCTCTTACGCTCATTTTCTCTTTCTACAGATTATGTGTGTTTCTTTGTCAGTATTTGCTGCTTAAACTATTTCCTGTAATAAGCTTTTGTGAGACCACGCCACTTGTACAAAGTAAAGAAACCTTGGTTCTCAGGAACCCACCACTCCCTCCCACCACTTCAGAGAAATGATAGGTTTGTGGTCTCTGGTTCCTCACTGACTGGAAAGCCAGTCGAGCTTTTATGTTGTCACTACTTGTGCAAGGGTGTCTGTAGACCATCGTCTCCTCCCCCTTGTGCTCGGTAAGCTGAAGACCGATAGAGCTATTAAAGCACTGTTTGTTTCCTCTCTGTTCTTTTAAAGACCACTGTCACTTCATACCACACCCCCTCACCCCACCCCCATGCCCTGCTTTTGTGACTCTTATACATTAAGCACTGGTATTCCTGCTAACTGCTGTCAGTTTCACAGTTGCACTGTGAACCATCAAGCTGAAGGTGAGTCTTTGCTTATGTGCTTACATCGATATGATCTTTTTATTCACTGAATGTACGCAGCAATATGTGTATTTGTGTGTGTGGTGGGGGGGTCATATCATTCTGCGTTCTGCAGCAGAAGCAATCGTGTGGTAGAGTTTAGTCATATTGCATCTTTGAAAGCAATGCATTTAAATGTTCAGCGAGTTTGCTATGTGTAACTCAAGTCCATTGCAACACGGAGCTCGTTTAAGCGCAAAAAATGCTAAACCACAGTCGTCATAGAAGGTTTGGAGACTCAAAAGCTCTTTAATGAGGAAAAAATACAATAATTCTGTTTTTTAACAAATCCAATGCAGTAAAAAAAAAAAGAGATCAAAGGGTAAGGAGGATGCCACAAGGTGGAAGAGCCACAACAGATAACGTCTGATCACATCTGCAGTCTGACTGTGCAAAAGTCTTGGCCGACCCCTCTTTATAGTTTGCTGTGAAAATAATAAGTAGATGAAACTCAAGTACATGCAGACATACATGGAAATGCAGTACTTAAGACAAAAACAGATGTTGCAATAAAAAAATATTCCTTAGGAACTGGTGGGGTACAAGAACTTGAAAACCACTGTGAAAGCAACAAGTGTCCAAAGAAAACCTTTGAAAGACCTTCAGAAAGCCTGAAGAACTGTATATTTAGCTCCTTGTAAGTAAGTAAGTAACATTTTATTTGCATAGCACCTTTCAAGATAAAAATCACAAAGTGCTTCACAGAAAAGCTGAAACATAAAAGTAAAATCAACCAA